AATTTTTTTTTTTTTTTTTTTTTTTTAACATAACAGTATATAGTGTGCATCTTTGTTGGTACATTTTTTTTTTTTTTAAGGAAGACCGGTAAGGGGAATCTTAACCCTTGATCTGGTGTTGTCAGCACCACGCTCACCCAGTGAGCTAACCAGCCATTCTATATAGGGATCCAAACCCATGGCCTTGGTATTATCAGCACCACAGTCTCCCGAGTGAGCCACGGGCCAGCCCCTTGTTGGCACTTTTAATTACTTACAATGCTAAACTAATGTTTTTAAACTGATGGGTAGGGTTTCAGTGTTTGAAGGTACTATAATAAGTCAGTTCTATATGGATGAAATTAATGTTCCCTCATTCAAATTATTTTTATGTTTAGAGATGGGACACATGAGGTTGATCTAACAGAAATAAGTAAAACTATGTCGAATGTGTTATAGTATTATTATGCCTAGATCAGGACAATGAAACATTCTCTTGATAATCACTTACTTAAGATTACCAAGGGGGAGATTTTAAAATAGTTTCCTTGAGAGAATAGTTTTTAATAGAGTCTTTATAGCGCAGTGTGGGCTACATATCAAGAAGTTTGCTCTCTAAGAGAAGTTACGTGTTAGAATGGGCTTCACCAGCTTTTTTACGAGTAGTTCTGGGACATGGTGAGAGAGGAGTAGATAGGACTGCCCAAAGGCTGGGTTTCCTGAAATTCCTTGATCATTGGGGGTTTGCAATTTGATAAGTATAGTCAGATCAGACTTAGTTCATTTTTACATTAGTTTTGATGTTGTATGTTGGATTTTGGTTTCTTCTGTGGCAATTATGATACTATTATTGTCAAAATCAGACAGTTTGCATTTTGTGCTCTTTGAAGTGCATAAGAGTGGAGATTTTGCAATAGAAATATTCACATTTAGGTCAATAGAAAATCAGTATGGTTAAAACCATATTGTATTTACTGTGGAATTTATCTGCATACTCATTTGTTGTTTGTGGAATGTGACTTTTCTTTTTTGTGTCTGTAAAGTTTACTAAGTCATTTTGAGAAGACATAGAAGACTGGCTCATTTGGAATTGCCTGTTGAATGTTTTAGAAGATTTCTCTTCCTTTATTCATCTTTGTGCCGTACACATTTGTAGTAATATTAAAAGATTATTGAGATCGAAAGTCATTTTGAGAAGACATAGAAGACTGGCTCATTTGGAATTGCCTGTTGAATGTTTTAGAAGATTTCCTTTATTCATCTTTGTGCCGTACACATTTGTAGTAATATTAAAAGATTATTGAGATCGAAGCCTTCTAAGTATATTCAAGGCCTTGCTTTTAAGATGGTTAATATATTAAACAGTTTTTAAAAATCTTTGTGGATTTTTTTTTGTTGTTACAAAATCAAACAGTAGGGAATAGTACAAAGCGAGAAGTGTAGTCTCTGCCACTCTCCTCCAGTCCTGTGTCCTTAGTTACACACTGTTAGTAATTCATTCTGTATCCTCTCAGAGGTTTGTCTGTGTTTGTACAAACAGGTTTTTTTAAAGACAAAAGGATAATGCTAAATTTCTCTTTTGTGGACATAATTCTAATGCGTGTATATCTCCGTCGTTCTTTGTAGTGGCTCGTGTTCTAAGTGGAGGCCCTGCAGTCCCTCCTTTGCACTGCTGTCTGCAGCTCTTGTTTACATTTTTAAAAAATTTTCCCTTGTACCTTTTTATTTTTAAAAAACTCACACCTTTGGAAAAGTTGAAAACATAGTTCGGTAGTCATTTACGTACATTTTGCACATTTGCTTGTTTTCTTTTTCTGTAAAAATATGTGTCTGTGTATCTATATTAAGAATACAATTATTTTATGTTTTGGTGGCTGGCTGATACAGGGATTGAACCCTGGACCTTGGTGTTATCAACACTGTGCTCTAACCCACTAAGCCAACTGGCCAGCCCCTGAAAATATGCTTTTTTAATCATTTGAAAGTAAGTTGCAGACATTATGACATTTCCTCCCTGAATACTTCAAAATGTATTTCTTAAAAACAAGGACCTTCTTCTATAAAATCATATTATTATCACTAAGAAATTTAACACTGATACAATAATATTATATATTACATATTTGACATTGATACAATAATTATTTACATTTTTTCGGTTATACCAAATCTTTCATAGCTCTCCCACCTGCCTTAATCCAGGGTCTAATCAAAGATCACACATTGCATTTGGGCCTTTTTATTACCTAGGTTTTTTGTTTGTTTGTTTTTAATTATAAGAGAAATTCAGCTCATGGTGAAAGATTTAAACAGTACTAAAAAAGTTATAAGGTAAAAAATTCAGTTTTTATTCTCCATGAAATAATCGATATTAATAAGGCTTATTTTTGTATGTGTTTAAAATTTTTCTGGTAGCAGCTTTTATTTAAAATTGTTTTTCATTTGTTTAGGGTCGAGTGGAGTGCTGGGACCCAAGAACTCGAAATAGGGTTGGCCTATTAGACTGTGCATTAAGTAGTGTCACAGCAGATTCAGAGTAAGTAGAAATTAATTTGCAGTGTAAAAATTTATCAACTTCTGATTTAAGCAAATGTATCAATACTAAATAAAATAAGTTACTAAAGGATGAAACACTTAAGACTTATATCTGAAGTTGTAGTTTCTGTGATTGTTTTACGTAAAAATTCCCTCCTGTGAAAGCTTACTAAGTAGGTGAGCCAGATAGAATTTCTTTCTAAAGTAACTACACAGAATGCCTTATTTCTTTAATTGCCATAGAATTTTGTTTAAACAAATGCACTGTAGGAGTTTATATTCCAATTCTGTAGGATCTAGTGATAGAACCGGGAGTCCATTACTCCAGGTAACAGGCAGAAAGATGTGCTTTGAATTCTAAAGTGGAGGGAAGCATGTATTTTTTATTTATTTTTGTTTCTCTTTGCTTAATTCCTACATTTAAAACAATTAGAAAAGCAGTACATGTTTGGGGGATAAAAACCTCTGAAACAAAGTAGAGGCTTGAATTAAGAAGGAAGTTAAAAGTCCCCTGTCCCCCACTCACCAGAGTGGTTATTGTACAGTTTGGAACTTATCCTCCAGCTGTTTTTCTGTGCTCATATGAACATGTACACAGGCACATTATTCTCTCAGTCAAATCCTTGACATGGGATTATTTGCTGCAGTCAGTTGAGGAATGCCTTTTCTCTGGGCTCTTTTTTTTTGGCGGCTGGATGGAATGGTGATCTAAACCTTTGACCTTGGTGTTACCAGCACCAGCTCTAACCAAGTGAACTAACTGGCCAGCCCCTAACTATCTGTTAATTATGACATTTAAAGTGAGCATAGGAATATTTTTTCCTATTACTGAGTTTTATTAAAATAATACTAATAACTTCATTAATTATGGTATGGAGTATAGTATATTAAGTAATTTTAAATTGGAAAATTCACTTATTCTACTCATACATTTGTTAATAGAATAAGCCAAAAGAAAATGCATATCAATATTTCATCATATTGGCATGAAAGAAAACAAATCAGAAACCTGCATATTTTTAGAAAGTAGGAAATCAGTTATAAGATCAGTTATAAAGATATTATAAATCAGTTATAAAGATATTTACCCATTCCCTAGGAAGCAGAAAGGTTAATTTTCTCTCACTCTTTAGCATTAATTTGTCTTCGAATTAGAATAAAGAGACTTGGATTCTGGTATATAAGCTCTGTCATTAATTGTCTCACCTTGGGAAAGTCATTTGAGAAAAACAGGCCAGCAGGAGTTACTTGTAATATGTCTTTTTTTTTTTGGCAGCTGGTTGTACAGGGATCCAAATGCAGTAGGTCTTAAGGCTATTTCTACTTTACTGACAATAGAAATAGCATTGTAGAAAATTTAAGAAAGGAATGTGAAAAAATAATCTTAACTGTGGTCTTCAGAAACATGGGAGTATTAGGGCTGGCCTGTGGCTCACTTGGGAGAGTGCGGTGCTGATAGCACCAAGGCCACGGGTTTGGATCCCTATTTAGGGATGGCTAGTTAGCTCACTTGGGAGAGCGTGGTGCTGACAACACCAAGTCAAGGGTTAAGATCCCCTTACCGGTCATCTTTAAAAAAAAAAGAAAAGAAACATGGGAATATTTATCCTATTTATTAAAAGTAGGATATTGATTTACAAACATTTTTTAGTGGCCTCTTTTGTCCTTGGAGGTGGGCCATTTTCCAGCTGTCATGATGGAGTTTATTTCCTAAAAAAAATGATTTTATGATATTATTTTGAAAAAATAACTTTTGCTTACTGTAAAACAGATGCTAAGCAATTTCAAAAATACAAAAAAAAGAGAGTAAAAATGACCTCTGAACACAGAGACGTTATAATTTAAATAACCAGACCCCTATTGGTGCATGAAGGATGTCTGTAGTTTTCACTATCACACATCCATTTATAATTTTATCATTATTTCTTAAGGGAAAATATCCAGAACCTGAATTTCTGGGTTAAATAGCATACTTGTTATTAAGGCTTTAGGTACATTGCTCAGTTGCTTTACAGAAAACCTAACATCAGTTTAAACTTCTACCCACATGCTTAGAGCATGCATTCTCACTTTCCTCGGCCCAAGACATCCACCACAGGTAATGTTAGAAAGAGCCTAAGGTTATTAATTAACTAAAGCTTGGTAGAAATAATAGCTAACAGCTGATACTTTCTATTTGCCAGGTACTGTTTTAAGTTCTTTACATATATTAATTTACTTAATATAACAACCCTTTGCTGTAGGTAGTGTTGTTGTATTTATTTTACAGATGAAAAAATATCCACCAGTGGCATTCAGCCTTTAAGGATTATGTTGCAGAATCATATTTATTACTAGGGAAAGATATTCCAAATATAGCTTTAAGTGGAAAAGCAAACCATACAGTTGCCTGTGCTTTTCTCACATTTTTGTAAGAAAAGCAATGAAAAAATAAGTGTAGGCATAGGAGAAAATCTGGATGCATAACAAAATGTTAAACATTTTTCTTGCCGATTCAAATTCAATTTTTTTTAATGATTAGCTTTATTTTATTTCTACAAACCTTATGAGCTGTCCCTTCTGTTATTTAACAAAGTTCTAGAAGATGGAGCCAGTACAATAAGAGAAAGAAATGAGTGTAAATATTGGATAAAGGAGGTAGTCTGTCATTATTTGTGGACCATGATTGTCTGCCAGAGAAACCCAGTAGAATCAACTGACAACCTGTAAGAACAATAATGAGAGTTAAATAAATTGGTTACAAACTAAATTTGTAAAAATCCAGTTAGAAAGATACAGTGTAAAAAGTTCTCATTTTTAACAATAAAAATTGTAAAATACTGGGAGATAAATTTAATAAGTACCTATCTGAAGAAAATGACATATCTTATTAAGAAACAAAGTTTGAGTAAGTGTAGAAAATGTATCACTGGACTGAAAAATGATTCTAAAGCTCATTTTGAAGAGTAAATGACTAAAAATGATGTGGATGTGAGGCCTCAAGGTTCTGAACTACTTCAGTAGTTACAGGCTGAGACTCTAGGTGGCAGAAGATACCTGCTAATGCCAGCAGTTGTGGCCTGGACTGTTGGTTCAGAGCCAAGGCCATGTGCACAGTCAGTGTTGAAAGCAGGACTGATGTCCACTTCTGACTTACTGTCTCAATACCTTCCTCTGTTAATCATTGCCTTTGGTGCTGATACTCTTGGTGGGTGAGAAGCATATTCTAGAGGTGTGGCCATACCATTCATTGTCTTCAGTACCTTCAGAGCTTCTGGGGTTCTCATTTGGGGGTTATTCTTATGTTAGCTGGACATGGCTAATTTTTAATGAAAATGGGTATACCCATACTCCAATATAAAATCATTTCCTCTAAAAGGAGAATGTTTCTGTAAATACCTTACCCTGGCTTAATTTAAATAAAAGATAAAAATAGATTACATTTACATGTGAAGCGTATTTTTTATTTTGATTGTGAAAGTTTGGACGCAGTGACCTTTTAAACAGAAGGCTAGAAATGTGATTTTTCCCCATTAGATTTGAAGCGAAGATTAATAATGAACTTGTTACTTGGAAGGAGGTTTGACCATATATTCATGGAGCAGGAATATTTTTCCTTTCAGGATAAATACTTTACCAACAATTTCTGCTTTGAAATTTAATGGCGCCTTGACCATGGCAGTTGGAACATCCACAGGGCAGGTAAATATGTTTATGTTGGAAACTTCACATGTTAGTTGGTATTTCAGAGGTGTGTATGTGTCCTGAGAAATATACTGTGGGAACAGAAAATAGGTCATTACAGTTTGGGCCTGAGTGGAGAGGGTACTCCAGAACAGTGGACTCTGCTAGCACCTTGAGAAATCTTGACTCTTGCTTTAGTGGTTGGTCTGAGATACTTTGAAGCTGGAGCTGTAGTGGGATTGGCTTCAGGTGTTCTCTTGGAACAGCATTTTCCAGAGTGCGTGGAACACACACTCTGGTTCTGTGGTCAAAAAAGTTTGGAATTGTGTCAGACTCTAACTTCTGGAGATTCAGAGTGGGTTTAAATACATAGTGAAAGCTTTGAGAATTCCTGCAGACAAGAAATGTGTTTAGGCTGGCCAGTTAGCTCAGTTGGTTAGAGTGTGATGCTAATAACACCATAGTCAAGGGTTTGATCCCTGTACCGCCAGCCGCAAAAAAAAAAAAAAAAAAATGTGTTTAGTACGTATTACCAAAATTTATGTGTTCAAGGAACCTTTTTTTCACATAGCACCATTAACCACATCCCATGCAGTGAGTGGTCAGCAGAACATACATTAGCAATGCCAGTCTGAGAAGTACTTTTTTCTTTCCTTCAAGGCAGACCCCACACCCTTATCAGTTTGTCCCACCCCCACAAGAGATGTGAGACCCTACCTCTACTAGATGTACTATCTCTGTCACCATGAGCTAGAGGGGATCTGTCACCAGCTTCCCCAGGCGCCCTTGCCTCTGAAGACAGAGGTCAGAAGAGATTCCCCCTTCTCCCAAACAGTCATAGTCTTGCCGCCACCATGTGTCTTGACTCTACCAGGACTGTTCCTCATTATGCCTTCATTCTTTATATCAGTTGCTTCGACAGTACCTGGTACATGGTAGGCCCTCAGTACATATTTTTTAATTAACAAGTGAAACTCTTATGGACTTTCCTTTTGTTCCTTTCTTTGTATAGCTCAGTGGTTCTCAAATTCAGTGTGCCTAAAAATTACTCTCAGAGTATAATTCATAAAACTGTGTACTTTCAGGGTAATTTAAGAGATTTTCCTAGAGTTTTGCTGGCTGACTTTAGAATCTTAGCACCATGAGTAAGGGAGTTCATTGTGCTCATAAAAAGGTAACGAAACAAATGGTAGTCATTAATCTAACTCTTAAATGTTTCTTTTTAAGATAAAATAATTTAGTTTGTTTAAACAGAAATAACTTTTTTTTTCTTTTAGGTTTTATTATATGATCTTCGATCTGATAAGCCATTGCTAGTTAAGGATCACCAATATGGGCTGCCCATTAAGTCAGTTCATTTCCAGAATTCATTAGATTTGATTTTGTCTGCAGACTCTCGAATTATCAAAATGTGGAATAAGAACTCAGTACGTATTTTTTGTTGAAATTACTTCCTTCTTTATTTGGATGTGTTCCTAATGCTCCTTTTCTTTCTATTGACTTTTCTGAGTAGGTTCTTGAGAAAGAGATGCTGAGTATTTGTTTGAGAACTTAGTAGGAAGTCAGTTACATCAGGATAGATGATATCTGTATTTAGATAAAGTAATCATGATTGCTTTCTTCCAGTAAAGAAGTTTTTCCTCATTTTCAAGGCCTGGCATGCGTCTTAGATATTTAATCAGTTAGAGAGAAAATCATTGTTTAAAAAAGTTGACACATGAGAATCCCCCCTAGATCTTGAGGCCCTCTCAAACCCTAGGAGAGTTTCTTTTAGCTACTAATTATCTTTCCATGTCAGTATTACTATACATCTCAATTCCATACCTTATCCCAACCTCAAACAATTGGATTTTAGAAATGGCACCTTTACGTAATTTCTTACAGTATTTTCTTAAAAACAATATTTTCTTGGGCTGGTCGGTTAACTCAGTTGGTGAGAGCACAGTATTATAACACCAAGGTGGAGAGTTTGAATCCCTGGACCTGCTGGTCTCTGAAAAACAAACAAAAACGAATATTTTCTTAAGAATATTTTGATGTTCCTTTCCTCAACTCCAAGTGTCATGTAAAAAGAAACAAAATCCTGTATTGCTGGTTTTAATTTGCCTTCTGCTTTTCAATTTTCATTTTAAAAACCTAAGTGTTTTGAGAGAATAGTAAAAGCATTTCCCACTCATCAAATAAGTGGGAAAAATGCATATAGTACAGCAATTGCTTTTAAGAATTCTCTTTGCATTTAATTAATTAGGAACTTAGCACCTTTATTTTTTTTTTAAATGTGACTTTTAAATAATCCGTGTTTGGGCCAGCCCGTGGCTCACTTGGGAGAGTGTGGTGCTGATAACACCAAGGTCAAGAGTTCGGATCCCTATATACGCATGGCCAGTTAGCTCACTTGGGAGAGCGTGGTGCTGACACCAACAAGTCAAGGGTTAAGATCCCCTTACCAGTCATCTTTTTTAAAAACAAAAATAAAAGTAGATAAATAATCCATATTTAAGATCCCCTTACCAGTCATCTTTTTAAAAAACAAAAATAAAAGTAGATAAATAATCCATATTTGAGGTGAAGTTGGGTGGAAGATCCACTGGCCTCAGCATTAAATGCCTGAGGGTAAGTGCCAGTCTTTTCTGTGGGTTCTGCCTGTGTTCGGGTCACAGATGCTGCAGGCAACCACGTCACAGATCATAATCTCCAGCTTCCTGGGCCATTACTTTTGGCTTTTAAAATTTCATTTTGTTAACTCTCAAAGTATTGACCTTACTTAGTTCCCCTTCTTTTTCCCTCTGGATCCTGGAGATTCAGAGTTGTCCTGGGGATGTGTTCTGCCTCTCTTAGGCCCTAGTTCCTTCATATGCTCTTTTGACTCTTTATGTTATATGGAAGTGGAGGGGCTTCCAGCTTTCCTGATTTCTTGAAAGAATTACCCTGATGGTGGCCTGGGAATGGTATGCTGTGTACTTTTTTTGTCTTTGAGTTTGGAGGCTTTGGAAGGCTTTCCTATGAAGATTGATGGTGTCTTAAATCAGAATTTTCTCTGCTCTTTTTCAGGCAATCCAAACTAATCTATGTTAAAACAATATTTATTTTTAGTTCTTAAGTGCATACATTTTTATTTTTAAACATTCACAAAATACTGGTAAAGTTGAAGTTGTCCTTTACCTGGCTGCCATCCACCTGAAGGTAGTCACTCATCAGTTTGGATATGCCCTTCTAGACCCTTTAACTGCACATAGTTTTCCATAATATGGATTTCTATAAGCTGTGGCACCTTTTCTTTTTTGTTCCATGCTATTTTATTTCCCTTTCACCCCTTCTTTCTTTTTTCTTTCCTCTTTTCCATTTCAATGGGAACTTGAGAAGGAAGGGAGGTAGCTGTGTGAATTTCACTGTCTTGAATTAGAACTTGGCTGCTGTTTTCCATTGAGCATGAAATAACCATCCTGTGCATGCTCTAACTCTACTCCCCTTTTACTGTGGGAGCTCACCACATCCTAGTGTTGGTCTTCTAATGCTGAGTTGTACATGCAAGAGCTGGCAGAGTTTTTCAACATCACTTCTTGAAATCATCATGCTATAATTGCTACAATAAATTTTATTTTGGCATTTTTGTTTCTTATGACTAAGTAATTCCTCTTGACTGACACCCAAATGACTTGGCTTTGCTTGACTTGCATGCTTTGTTTATCTTTCTCATCACCTTTCTCCACACCCACCTTCTTATCTTCTGTCTTTTCTTAAAATTTCCTCCTCTTAATTTTTAAAAATATAGCATATTTCCTTCCACTTTTAAAATAGTGATATTTTAGTCTTAACTACATGATAACTAACACCTTATATATTTATAGGATTTCATTTTGTATTTTATATCCATTATTTTATTTGATCCTCCTCTAAACCTTGTGGGACAGGTGTTGCACTGCTGTCCTCATTTATACGGTGGCCATCTCTTTTGGTTTCTTTGAGTACAAGTTAAGTTGGGTATATTTAACAGATCATGAGAATGTTTTTCTAAAGTTGATGCACAACTTATTTAAACTTTACCTTTTTTTTTTTTAAGTGGCTGGCATTACAAGAATCAAACCCTGGACCTTGGTGCTATAACACCGTGCTCTAACCAACTGAGCCAACCCGCCAGCCCCAACTCTTCCCTTTCTTACCATGTAGACATTATCTCTAAAACTTTGTGTTCGTTTTTTGGGGAATAAGTCTCCTCCCTGGGCATCGGTTTCTTCATCTCTAAAATGAGAGCTTTCGATAAATTGATAAGATGAGTTCTCTAAGATTTTTAAAATTTAAATTCTATGATTTCAATCAGTTTATTTTGTTTCTTTACATAGTAGTAGGTGGTTGAGTTATGCCTCCAGTTTATTTTATGTGACATTGCCAAAAGTTTTTTTTTCTTTGACTGTGTTAATAATTCATTTTTCACTTACTGTTTTAGGGAAAAATATTTACTTCCCTGGAGCCAGAACATGACCTCAATGATGTCTGCCTTTACCCCAACTCAGGTACGCATCATGTAGCAGTCCAGTGAGACAATCTAGGCTGTACTTTTTTTGGTTTTAAACTCATTTCTTTCTTTCTTCTTTTTTTTTTTTTTTTAAAGATGACCGGTAAGGGGATCTCAACCCTCGGCTTGGTGTTGTCAGCACCACGCTCACCCAGTGAGCAAACCGGCCATTCCTATATAGGATCCGAACCCGTGGCCTTGGTGTTGTCAGCACCGCACTCTCCCGAGTAAGCCACGGGACCGGCCTGAACATAAATCTTTTTGATAGGTATTACCAAATTACCCTCCAAAGAGGGTGTACCAAATACAATCCCACCAGTAATATATGACAGTACTATTTTCCCATAACTCATTGTGTATTATATCAACTTTTTTTTTTTTTTTTAAAGATGACCGGTAAGGGGATCTTAACTCTTGACTTGGTGTTGTCAGCACCACGCTCACCCAGTGAGCAAACCGGCCATTCCTATATAGGATCCGAACCCGTGGCCTTGGTGTTGTCAGCACCGCACTCTCCCGAGTAAGCCACGGGACCGGCCTGAACATAAATCTTTTTGATAGGTATTACCAAATTACCCTCCAAAGAGGGTGTACCAAATACAATCCCACCAGTAATATATGACAGTACTATTTTCCCATAACTCATTGTGTATTATATCAACTTTTTTTTTTTTTTTTAAAGATGACCGGTAAGGGGATCTTAACTCTTGACTTGGTGTTGTCAGCACCACGCTCACCCAGTGAGCAAACCGGCCATTCCTATAAAACTCATTTCTTAAGATAGAATTTGGCTTGGTCAGGACAATTCTTGAATATTTTGCTTACTTGGAAGAATCAAGAGCAGGAAGTGGGGTGGGTGATTCAGAAAATGGCACTTTTGATGACTCAGTAAATCCTCAGCCTGCCTAACTATTAGTAGAAACTGGTAACAATATGGGTGGCAGGTGAAATGTTTATTTAGTGCACTCTTTAGCTCTTTTATGTGATTAGCAATAGCGTGTGGAAATTGAGGTTAGGGATTTGGAGAAGGCTGGAGTTGCCAGTAGTACACAGGTGGCTCATGAAGCCATGGGTTTTGTTATATTCTATGTGGTATGCTGTTCAGCCAGTTTACATGATAGTTTTTTGTTTTTTTTTTTTTTGGTGGATGGCCAGTAGGGGGATCCAGATACATGATAGATTTCAAAGTTTAGCAATACATTCAAGGTAGATCTGTGGAGAATTTTGGTGTATGAGAGAAAAACAGTTTCTACTCTCAAGCAGTGTACTCTGAGGACAGACATACACAGATAATTTTGATGATGGGCACAAGACAAAACATGAAAGGTCCTGTCATGTATGTACAAACAGTACTTGGACAACCTGTTAGAGAGAATGGTTTCATCCAGGGCACCTAGAGAAGGGCATAGGGAAGGTTTTTGTTTGCATTGAGTTTGGAGTGATGAGTAAGATTTGTTTAGATGGAGTTGGGGAAAGAGGTGACCCATGGCTGGGAACAGTGTAGGAAGAGGAAGAAGGATGGGGTACGGACGGAGGGCTTGTTTGGGACAGGGAGGAGCTGCCGGTGCCTAAGCTGTGGTGGCTCGGGGGTGACATGGGAGGGCAGATAGTGGCCAGTGCTGGAGGTCTGGGAAACACATGCTACATGACTTGGCCTCTTTTTGTAATCAGAGAGGGCCTGGTCAGACTGTGCTTTCAGAAGGCAGGTCTGTCCTTTGAGTAAAGGGTAGATTTGTTTTGAACTAAAATGATTAGGAGGTGCTATTCTCAGCTGAGGTAGGGAGCCTAAGTGAGAGCAAGTTTGGAGAGAAAGACTATGGCTTCTTTTTCTAACATTTGTGTATTTGGAGGTGATGGGACAGTGGCAGTGTCTGGCAGAGGGTCTCAAACCTGCCTGCCCATCCAAATCACCTGGGGAGCTTTTAAAGTACAGATTCCTTGGTTTCATCCCAGGTGTGCGGACCCGCAGTGTCCAGGGGCAGGGTTCAGAAATGTGTATTTTTTTTTTTTAATTTTTTTTTTTTGTCTTTTTCCGTGTCCGGCAACGGATCGCAACCCTCAGTGTCGCCCCCGCACCTCGCTCAGCCAGTGAGCGGGAACCGGTCTGTATGTGGGATCCGAACCCTCGGGCGGGAGCGCCGCCGCACTTTCCAAGCGGCGCACTATCCACTGCGCCCCCCCGCCGGCCCCGCACTGCGCGTTTTTGAACCGCCGCCGCC